TCAGTGCATTTTTTAAAAACAAAATTACAGTCCCTACTGCTCACATTGCCCATACTTATCGGTCATCGGCAGCCTCCAATATTGTGCTATTGACCATAACTGTTCATCTCTTACCATTGAAAGCAATTGCAACACACAGTATTGGGCTAGCTATTTTGGGCATTTCACGAGGAATTTTGCACCTTCTTTACATGCTGTTTGCTATTTATCTTTGTGCATTTGAGCCCTGTCCCCCCCACCAAAACATTTTAAAAACCTTTTTACAATTCTCAGGAACATTCAGAATTGTTGTGTCCTGGAAATTTTGTTTTAAGAACAAATCTACTTACACAGATTAAAATACTTGTGATCTAGACTAGACCATCATTTTATGTTACAAACTATCTGACAGTAGCCATTTTTTGATAATTTGACAAGTGCGAAATCAAAGGGACTTACAAAGAGAATAAAGCCACATGATTTTGAACAGAGAGCAATAAACTTCACTATGCAATATTAGAACAATGTTACAACCTGCAACACACGTCTGTCTTGTATTCAAACACCCAGAAATAATATGTGATAAATATGGGGAATAGACTGTGATTGAACAATTCACATCACACATCAAATAAAATGCAATCTGGACATGGATGCATCAGCAGTTCACCACAAATTTTAATGATATGGTGGATCATCACAAGGGATTATAGTTCTTCACTCTTGCCAATCTGGCCTTGAAAATCAATCCCACAAGCCACTCTGCCTTGGACTGCTGCATCTACTCCTAAACCGATCAATCACCTTCCTTTCCTTAGTATGTGTTCCCTTAGACTCAAGAATAGCACTCCAGTCGTCACTTACAGCCACAACTTCCTCTTTTCACTGACTGCTATCTTCTTCAAGCTAGAACTACTCTGCTATTTCCCATAGCTTATGTCTTACTCAGTCACAGCAAGCAAATACTGCTTGTAAACATTTCAACTGCCACACTTGGGTGGACTGAACCGTTAATAGTACACAGTTTCTGCCGAGCCCCCTGATGCATAAATGCATTGAAACGATTGTCAGTATGTGGTGCAACGAGTAATGGGGGATATAACGGCATAAAATAATATAAATTAAACTTAATTAAAGTCAAACACAGAAATTGCTGGAAAGCTCAACAGGTCTGGCAGCATCAATGGAGAGAAATCAGAATCAACATTTCAGGTCAGGTGACCCCTCTTCAGAACTCAACACCTGACCCGAAATATTAACTGTGATTTCTATCCACAGATGCTGCAAGATCTGCTGAGCTTTTCCAGCAATGTCTGTTTTTGTTTCTGATTTCCAGCATCCGCAATTCTTTTGGTTTTTAATTAAAGTCAACTTGTCCTATTACAGCACTACTTGACAAATGTGCAAGAATGGACCTTAAAGCGAATAAGCACAAGTGTGCACAACTCTAATGAAAAATCAGTGTTTTAAAGAAATTGCTGTGGTGAACTTTCTTTTCTGAAATTGAAAGCAGATCAAAATTCCTGTGTAGTTGACAAAGACTGGTATTAAAATGAATTATATTTATCTACGTCGCTTCTTCTAACTGATAGTTATCATCATCAATTAAAACTTTCAGTAGTGCACTCAGCAGCCATGTTTCATAATCTTCGACAGATTCTGTCTGCAGACTATTCACCACAGGTCATTGTAACTAATATTATCCTGCCCTTGATAGCAGCCCTCACTTCCACTGGAGTCTCGGGATGAAATTTGGAATGGTGATCGGGACTATCTGTACTTTCTCCAGTTTGAAGATACTGGCGCTAACATTAATCTTTCTGAAAGGCTCTTTGGCACACTTGCATTGTTGGCAATGGCATCCTGTTTGAACAGTGGTAAACTCATCCTGTTTCTCAATGTTATCCATGCCATTAGTTTTTCTACCTCAGTTTGACACCAGTGTATAGAGTGGATTTTAGTTTTATTCAAGTCTGTTTTTAAGTAATCTTTTTCATCTTTCTTAAGTTTCCTGTAATTGTCCTGTCTACATTTGTGAACAAGAGTAGACCATTCAGGACCTCCAGCTTATTCTGCCATTCAGCGAGACCGTAGCTAATCTGCATCTTAACTCCATTCATCTGCCTTGGTTCCATATTCTTTTATATTCTTTCCTAACTAAACTTTATCAACAATGTCAAATTTAAAATTACAATATTATACTTAATTACAATTAATTGAACCAGCACCTTACTGTATTTTGGGACAAAATATCACCCTTTCTGCAAAAGATTACTTCCTAACTTCTCTCCTAAATGCCCTGGCTTTGATCTTGCAATTATATCCCCCTGACCTAGACTTTGTTGGTGGAAACTGTTGCATCCTGTATTCTATCCATTTTCCATTCCTTTTAAAATCCTATTAACCATAACCAAATCCTCCTGCACCTACTGTCAAGAGAATTGAAGCCCACTCTGTGAGATCTCACATCATAATCTAATCCATGAAGTTCTGGTGCATTTAGAATGCATTCCTTCCAAGATTGATATGTCTTTTCAAAGTGCTGTACCCCAGAACTACATGTGCTCTAACCAGCTGCAGTGACATTGCCAATATTGGGTCAAAAATATGGCTCCCTGCTGTGTTCCCTCTTTCCTTAGTTAATATATTGAGAAGTTGAAGACCCAGCACAGAATCTTGCAAGGAACACACCTGTTGACTCAAATATATACCACTCCTACTGTCATTTTCTACTCTACAATTATTCTCCAAATGAAGATCAAACATTTTCCTTCAATTATGTTGAACTTTAATTTTAGCTTTAAGTCTGTTATGTGGAATTGATTATCAAGTGCCTTTGGATGTCTATTCAATCTATATCTATAGGCATTCCTCTGTCCAGTTCTACAGTTTCTTTTTCAATCAACTAGATTGATTACACATGATACATCCTCCATAAATCCATGTCGGCCATCTGCAAGTGCTCAGTCACTTTGTTCTAGTTTATAGATTCCGATAACATCCCTGGATACCAGTGCTGTTGCTATATGGAGTAGCTAGGCGAGGGGAGCAGCAAGTTCTGGGGCACATATCTTCAGTACAATTGCTGAAATGTTGTCAGGACCAATAGCCTTTGCAGTATCCAGTGCCTCTTTATATCATGTGGAGTGAATTGAATTGGCTGAAGATTGGTGTCTGTGATACTAGGGACCTCATGGGGAGACTGCGGTGGATCATCCATTTGGCACTTCTGACTGAAGAGTGTTTCAAATGCTTCAGTTTCATCTCTTGCACTGATGTTCTAGAAGACTCATCACTGAAGATGAAGATATTTGTGGAGCCTTCTACTCTAGTATATTGTATAATTGTCCCCTGCTTCCCACTACCACTATTCATGACAAGCTGTGGCAGGACTGTAGAGCTTAGATCTGATCCTTTAGTGATGAAATCGCTAAGAAATGTCTATAAACAACAAACACAGAAAATTCTGGAGAAACCCGCCAGGTTTGGCAGTATTTGTGAAGAGAGAAACAGAATTAACATTTGAAGTTGTGTGGAACATGCCCTGAAGAAGAGTCATTTGGGATATGAAATGTTAACTTTGTTTCTGTCTCCACAGAGGTTGCCAGACCTGCTGAGTTTCTCCAGTACTTTGTGATTATTTCAGATTTCTAGCATCTGCAGTGTTTTGCTTTTATTTAAGCACTGTCTATCACTTGCTGCTTCTGCTGTTTGGTGCACAAGTATTCCTGTGTTGTATCTTGATGGACACCTTATTTTTAGGTATGTCTGGAGCTTCTCCTGCCTGGCATGCCCCTCTGCACTCTTTGGTGAACTAGGGTTGATCCTCTGACTTGATGGTAGTGATAGAGTACGAATATGCTGGCCATGAGGTTGCAAATTAATTTATTGCCCCAACAACTAGCTTGGCCTACTCCTGAGATCAGCAGTATCACTGATGCTAGTCTTTAGCCAATTCAGTTCACTTTACATAAGGTTAGGGGGATATTGGGGACATCAGGGAAGAAAATGATGTAGTGGTAATGTCACTGGATAAGAAATCCAAAGGCCAGACTAATGGGGAAACAAGTTCAAATACTACAACAACAGCTGATGGAATTTTAAAATCAATTCGTAAACCTAGAATATGAAGTTCAGGTAAAGTTGACTATGAAACTATCATCAATTTGTAAAAATTCATCCAGTTCACATGTCCTTTAGAGGATGACATCATTTGCAATCCTTACTTGATCTAGCCTACATGTGACTCCACACCCATAGCAATATGGCTCACTCTTAACTGCCCTCTGAAATGGCCTAGAGAGCTTTTCAATTCAAAGAGAAATTAGGAATGGGAAACAGATGCTGACCCTACTGGCAATGCTACTTTTCCATTGAAAGAGCAAAGGAAAAAAAATTCAAGGAACTGTGAAAGGCACTGGGAACCACAAGGGAGATGGACCTGGACAACACTTCAGCAGTAGCCGGCAGATGGTGAGTAGATAGGTTGTCCATTGGATTTTTATGCCTCACCACACCTTCCTACCCACCAGCAGAGGTGCATCAAATCGAGCTCTGTAGCACTAACGTTTGACAAATCCCCAAGACAAAGTTGTTTAGAACTTTAAAATGACGCAGGTTAGGATATGGCAGATATTTTTAGCTGTAATCATCTGACAAACTTCCCATTTATGAATGACCTCTTTTAGGTTTGAATGACTTATTTATTTCTTTCGTTGGATGAGTGTGTCTGGCAAGGCTGGCATTTATTACCCATCCCTAACTGCTCTAGAGAAGGTGGTGAAATTGTTTACATATTCTCACTCATTCTAGAAGTAAACCAAAACGAGTAATGAAAACCACGTACATTGCTGTATGATCTCACAGTTGGATTTTAAAGAAAGTTGTTGCTTGAAGTTTACTTTTCATGAAGTATAAAATTAGAACTTGTGAATCTGTCCTTCAAAAACTTTATAAAGTACTAAACTTCACATGATATTGAATTGACATTTGATGCCAACTATTTTGATTCTCATTTTTAGGTTCGCCAATTTGTAGTCTCCGTAAATGGCCTGAATGTTCTTCATGTAGATTATAGAACTGTAAGCAATCTCATTCTAACTGGCCAGCGTACCATAGTAATGGAAGTCATGGAGGAAATTAACTTCTGAAAAGAAAATGGTAATTTGGAAGCATGCTACTAATCATGCATTGGCACTGGAAGATAAAAGAGATATTGGAAATGCACACCTGCATTTCCTTTGTATGCCAGAATAAGAGAATGTACAACCTAGGTCTTTGCTTCAGGAGTTAAAACATTGCCTTGTTTGTATGTGATTTAATTTGCTTACCATTGCCTCAATATATAAATGTTTAAAGTTTTATTGACACTGAATGTGAGCTGCCTGGCATGTAATATGTGTTGCAGTAATGAGTCGACACTTGATTGCAGGAAATAACTTCTGCTGGTGCATTTTGTCTCTCTAAATGGACATTTCCCATTACTCATAGTGGGATGTAGGGTGTAATTAGATGAGTTGTATCTATATGTGGAAGAAATACCTCAACACTTGAAGAAGTAGGTTCCTGTTAATAGTTTGAAAACCAAGAAAAGGAAATATTTTTGATTTGTCCCTTTTTTTAATTCCTTCACCGTAAGTAAATAAATGCACAAAATTTTTGTGGGTGAGATATTCCAAGAGTTAGTTGAGAATTTACAAATGTCACTCTTGTATGGAAAACAGGGTCTTAGGAAACAATGAATCGAGGTTTCATAAAATTAACATTATTGTTTTACGTCAGATGTCACACCGTACAAGAAGTAGATATTGTCCAGAATCTACCCCTCCCGAAAAGTGGAGGGGAAGGTAATTGGGCGGATTGGCATCAGGGAGATCCTTGTCATCTTCCCAACACACAAGCAAGTCCTTCCTACCCTGCCACCAGTTGGGACTCTTCAGTGGTCAGTTAATAAGCACTTAGGGGCCTCTTCAGCCACTGCAAGGCAACACTATTTCCAAAGGCTGAGAATACTGGCAGGTTTCCCTACAGCTAGAATGGATTGGCCTGCCTGCTGTGTTTGTGCAGTCCTCAATCTGTCCCAATTTGAAATGTTTGGCTGGGGGAGTAGGAGGCAGTGGATATAACCAAAGGGTGTGGCTGTGAAAGCTATAGTTGTGCCCTTGATTCTAAGTTCCCCTGACTTATAGACCCACCTCCCTGATTGACCCCTTTCCTTCCTGCTGCTCCTGCGCTTCTGCTTAATTCCACCATAAGCAGCTTCCAACCTCTGATTGGCCACCCCTCATGTAGGGTGGGATATCGCTATCCCGGGAAGTGATCCTACCAGGTAATCCCTTACGTGTTTGATAGGCACAGGATCCGGTTAGCTTTCCATTCAAAGGGTTATTGGGTTTAGGGTCATTCTGCCCATGTTCACTCAGTGAAAAATCTTCAGTTTCCTACACCTGCCACTTTTATGCATTGATGTGATTTAAGTGTATTGGAAAATAAAATTTTAGCAACGTTTTCTTTCTTAACAAGCCATCAGGTCACTCAAGTGTCAATGTATCCTGAGACGGTCTCCAATCTCCAGATGAACAGGGCACGAATAACAAATATAATATAACAGACAATGTAGAAATCAAACTCTTCTGACTATGAGTATCACTTTATTTATTGGAACATCTTAGTGAGTCCTAGGGCATTGTATTGTTCAGCTTCAAAAAATGGAATAAAGCAAATAATATTTGCATTGATTCTTACCTATAACATTTCTGTTGAAAGAGCGCTGAAGTAAGCTGCAGTTGAAGTAACTTGTGGATTGCCTGTAATCTTGAATGAACACTCCAGATCTGTTAAAGTAAGTAACCTATTAGCAGGCCAACAACTAGCCTTGCCATATGGGTGGAGGTATCGCTCATCTGGTCTGCTGGCTATGATCAAAAATAGAGGAAACAATATTTGTATTTGAATTTAAAATTTCATTTAACTGTAAGATTAATCATCGTTTTGGTACAACATGTCCAGTGGTACCAGAGTTTTTACCCTTAGTGTTTTCAGTTGGCTTTTCTTTTAAGTTGTTTGTTTTCTTTCTTTATGCCTTGGCTTGTTAAATTTCATTCAAATTACTCCCTTTTTGAAAGTGAATTAAATGTCACATCTTGAAGCTTGAATTTATCTAAAATTTTGTCAAGCTCATGCTTTAAATGAAGCAGGCTTGTTATGAACAATGACTGAAATGTGAATGTTCTTAAGTTTTCTCTGCAATCTGTACACAACACATCTATCTACCTCGTTGGCTCTGTCCTACTGGGAAAGGAAAGGGAGAATGTTTTTTGCAATATTGAAAGTTTAGTTTGTATTCAAGCACAAAGTGGAAAACCAAAGCATCCTGGTTTGAATAGGTATTTCCAGTCGCCACAGGATATAACATATGACAAAATGACAACTAGATGTTCAAGCTCAAGGACTAATTTAAGAAGTAACAGAAGCATTAGATGATTAAGAATTATAAAGCAGTACTACCTATGATTTATAGAATTGAGATAGATAATGGACTTGATTAAGTACAACCTGGTACATTATGTCTGATATACAGCTTTTAAGTTAGATGTTCCCTTTTGTTGGGCATTGGATTTCAAATCAATGACTTAAATTTGAGAGTACGAGAGATAATCCTATAAGTAGTGTGAATCCAACTCATTATTCAACCAGTGTCTATCTCAAAGTAAATTGTGTAATGTTATTTGAGAACTGCTTTTCTCTATAGGTTTTAAAATGAAATGTGAGGCTGGTTTCATAAATCTTATACTGCCATCACTTATTTTGTGTTTTTATTTTGAACTCTGACTGGAGTTATGAATTACAATGTCAATCAAGTCCTGGAGGACTGTATAGCCAAACTTTGTCTCATATATTACTTTAACCTATTGGATGCAGTTTAAATTGTAGCTACATAAGTTAAATGCATACTAAGTAAGATCTGATGTGCGACATTTATAAGGCTTAATGCTTCCAGCCTTATATTTCAGGAAATTCTATTTGGTAGGAAAATATTTCAATAATAAGTAAGCTTGTATAAAAGAACATTTTGGTAACTTGTGTAAAGATGACTAAGAATATATAAGAAATGTTTACACTTCTGTTTAAATACTTAAAATCTGAATCAGAATATTTTGTGCTGGTGCTAGTAATAAACTTCTGAAGAGTTTATTAATCAGATTTAAGTAACCAGTTAAAGTTGAGTCTTCCCATGCATGTTCATATCAAATCTTTTCTGGTAAGTCTAAAGCTAGGATTTTGAATAACAGTAGGAATTCTGGGGCTGCAGAGGGAGTTACTCATAATTCTAAATTTTCATTATAGCTCAATGGACTGCTATAAGTTAAAACTCATTGTCATTGCTAAAATATTTTCCAACTTTGTTACTTCCATATCTGCTTATAAGTAGCAAGTCCATCTGTAGGTTACTTCTAAAGTTTTAAGACTCCATTTAAATATTTTGTGGCTATGTCTAGAATTGGCTAGAAAAATACTCACAAAGGTTTAACCTTAGTTCAGACTGGTCATAATGACTGCCTTTATAAAGGATTAATCAGAATTTAGATACAAATTTATTTTTGTATATGGATATGTGGCTTTTTATCAGCTGTTATTAAATTGTATCAAATGTATGTCATCACAAACCATTGTAGCAAAAAATGTGAAATAAATTTGTGTGCTAATCAGTTCTTGGAAAGATCTATTCTTGTTCTAACTTAACATGCTTTCACTGCAGAAAGCAGCTTCCAGATAAAGAAGCTGACTATGTTCATGTTCTAAATGTAGCTCTTCAAGCCAGCACTTTTTGATTTGAAGCAATCGTTAAGTCTATACGCACATTGGTTATGTTTTTTGGTTAGTTTGGCTTTGACATAAAGAAAGCCTACATCAGATCACAGGAAAGAGACATAAAGTGTGGCTAATCTGATAATGCTTAAAGTCAAAGTTATCTCAATACTGTGTTGCCAATGCATAATTGTTCAGAATCACAGATTGTTACGGTTCAGAAACAAAGAAGCCATTTGTTAGGAGACACGACATGCAACAATATTTACTGTAAAGCTGTAAACTAGAAGTGTCCAGGCCCGAAACGTCAGCCTTCCTGCTCCCCTGATGCTGCTTGGCCTGCTGTGTTCATCCAGCTCTGCACCTTGTTATCACAAACTGGCAAAAGATTTGTTCAAGGCTCCTGTTAAGAAGCATTTTTGTCACACAAAGAATAACTTAATATTTTGAATGATCTAATGGGTAACAAGTTTGCTAATAACTCAAAGCTCGATGAGAATGTGAGTTGTGGGAAGGATGCAATGAGACTTCAAGGTGATTTAGATAGGTTAAGTGAGGGAGCAGATGGACTATAATCTGGAAAAATGTGAGGTTATCCAGTTTGGTTGGTTAAACCCAACTGCAGAGAATTTCTTAAATGGTGAAAGGTTGACAAAGATTGATGTCTGAAGGGACTTAGGTATCTTTATTCATGAGTCACTGAAGGCTAATGTGCACATGCGGTAAGCAATGACAAAAACAAATGGTATGTTGCCTTTTATTGCAAGAGGATTTGATTACAGGGAAAAAGATGTCTTGCTGAAATTTGTATAAAAGCCTTAGTGAGACCTGTTTTGGACCACAATACTGGAGTGTTATGGACAGTTTTGGTCTCCTTACCTAAGGAAAGATATACTTGCAATACAGGCAGTGCGGTAAAGGTTCGTTTATGATTTCAGTTTCACTTTTCCTGTATTTTTTGATTACCATTGTTTTCAAAAATCTATTAGGCTTGGTCTTGAGTACGTTGGTCAACTGAGCTCATACAGGCTGTGTGGAAGGGAGTTTCATGGATTTACAGTCCCTATGAGTGAAGACATTTCTCCTTACATAGGTCTTGATCCCTAGTTCTAGACTATCCATCCAAGAGAAACAGCCTCTAAGCATCTACTTTAGGGAAGGAAATCATACAGTCTCAGAGATCTACAGCACAGAAAGAAGCCTTTCGGGCCATCATGTCCACACTGGTCAAAAAAGACCTCACTATTCTAATGCCATTTGTCAGCACTTGACCCATGGTCTTGTACGCTTTGGCATTCCAAACGTACATCCAAATATGCCTTAACTGTTATGAGGGTATCTGTCTCTATCACTCTTAGAGACAGAGTTTCAGATTCACACACCCTCTGGGTGAAAAGGTTTTTCCTCACATCTCTAAACCTTCTGCCCCAACCTTAAATCTGTGCCCCAATCATTGATCCCTCCATAAAGGAGAAACAGTTACCCTATCTAGGCAAATAGAATTTTGTCCTTCATTGCTAGTGGAATTGAGTTTAAAAGCAGGGAAGTTATGTTGCAGCTGTATAGGGTGCTGGTGAGGCCATACATGGAGTCCTGCGTGTAGTTTTGGTCTTTACTTGAGAAAGGATGTGCTGGTACTGGAGGGGGTGCAGAGGAGATTCATTACGTTGATTCCAGAGTTAAGAGTGTTGATTTATGAGGAGTGGTTGAATAGCCTGGGATTATATTCATTGGAATTTAGAAGAATGAGGTGGGGGATCTTATAGAAACATATAAAATTATAGGGGAATAGATAAGATAGCAGCAGGGAGGTTGTTTCCACTGGTGGGTGAAACTAGAACAAGAGGGCATAGTCTCAAAATTAAGGGGACCAGATTTAGGACTGAATTGAGGAGGATCTTCTTCACCCAAACTTGGAGTATTGCGTACAGTTCTGGTCTCCGTATTATAGGAAGGATGTGGAAGCATTGGAAAGGGTACAGAGAAAATTTACCAGGATGTTGCCTGGTATGGAGGGAAGGTCTTATGAGGAAAGGCTGAGGGACTTGAGGCTGTTTTCGTTAGAGAGAAGAAGGTTAAGAGGTGACTTAATAGAGACACACAAGGTGATCAGAGGATTAGACAGGATGGACAGTGAGAGCCTTTTTCCTCGGATGGTGTTGGCTAGCACGAGGGGACATAGTTTTAAATTGAGGGGTGATAGATATAGGACAGATGTCAGAGGTAGGTTCTTTACTCAGAGAGTAGTAAGGGCGTGGAATGCCCTGCCTGCAAAAATAGTAGACTCGCCCACTTTAAGGGCATTTAAATGGTCATTGGATAAACATATGGATGATAATGGAATAGTGTAGGTTAGATGGGCTTCAGATTGGTTTCACAGGTTGGCGCAACATCGAGGGCTGAAGGGCCTGTACTGCGCTGTAATGTTCCATGTTCTATGTTCTATCTGTGGCCCTCATAATCTTATACGTCTCAATTGTATCCTCTCTCAATCGCGTACATTCTGAGGAAGAAAAACCCCAGTCTGTCCAATCTCTCCATAACTGAAACTTTCTCCAGTCGAGGCAACATCCTGTTAAGTTTACTTTGCTCCTTCTCCAATGGCTATCACATCCCTCCTATTATCTGCTTTTAATAATAACAGCAATGTGGTTGGCTCTTAACTCCCCTCAGGCATGGCTTAGCAATTTAGTCAGTTGTATTAAATCGTTAAAAATGTCTCAAAAAAATAGTTAATTTAGATGGACTACTTGGCATTGACCTAAAAGTTGGAAACAACCATGGCAAACTCAGCTCTAATGAGCCTGCAGAGTTCTTCTCATTAACATTTTGGGATTTAGAGCCAAAATTGGGAGAGTTCACTCACAGTCTGAGCAGGCACATGTCTGTGATAGAGGAATCCACCTAAGCCAGGATCTCTGCATTCCTATTTCCATGGAGGGCTTGATGGATGGAGAAACATCCAGGAGACCACAAAGTGGGTACATGTTGTTAATATGAAACTGAAGATCATCACAATGTGGTAGTGGGTCAGTGAGAAGTGGATAGTGCACCTGAGCATCTGTCCAGGAGCACCTCCATCTGCAAGAAGCAAGGATGTACCACTGCACCGAGAAAAGTGAGGAGCTTTCAAGTGTAAAATCTGAGGGGTACTTCTCAGGGCACTCTGAGGCAGTTCTCCACAACCTCTGCCAGTGACTTGATATAATTGGGTGAGGTGCCTGCTGATAGTCCTTGGCCCCAAAGCTCTGCAGCAGCAAACAGATGTGCCCCCATACTTATCAAAGACAAAAAAGACCTCACTAGTCTAATATAGTCACGGAAATCAGTAGCTTGCCAGAAAGTCAGTTGCAGATACGAAGGCAACACTGTGCCATAGCACTCGTGATTATTTTCAGAAGGGTGTGCAATCATCCCAATGTGGCACATATTTGACTTTATGCGTATCGTGCTGTGTATCTCAAACTTGCCTGCAATTTCCGGATCTGTGAGATTCCATCATTGAGAGCATCATGATGTTATGCAGAGTAGGAATAGGAAGACTACTCACAGGGTGCGTGTCATAGCCGTAATGTTTGGTTACCTCAATAGTGAGAGCCTTATGGTAGCAAAAAAAAGGATGGGTCATGTCAAATATGTAGAATATAGGCACATTCTAGAATACAACTGTAAAATGCAGGATGTTTACAGTCCCTCTGGACAATGCAAAACTGTCATTATTGGGCCAGAATTTGCTGCAACACAGACATTTTATAGATTGCTGCATGAGTTGGATTTTACTCTCACCCTTCAGTTCAGAAACTTCTGGAGTTGCAGAAGTTGTTAATAGGTTCTGGGGAATGTCTGAGACTTTAGTGATCAACGGGACCAATGCACTTCCTTAACCAATAGCCTTAAGAATAGAGAAAGCAACAGCAACAATGGTAGAGAAGGAATTCAATGAATTAGAGTCAAATTAGATAAAGTTAGTAATAGATAGATGGATAGAAAAAGATTGTATTAAGGACGAGTTAATAAAAAAAAAATCATTAAAAATTTTTAAAATGTACAATTTATTGTTGGAAGAGATTTTTAGTTTTGATTTTTCATTTTCTGCATCTGTAAGGTTTTATTGGTTATGCAGGATCGTATATATCACCATTTAAAGAATACTTCCATCATGAAATGTTGCATTTAAATTTCTACACGGTTTCAGTCATTTTACTGTGAAAATGCAGCAAATTCTTAAAACTCATAGGAAATTTAACATCAAGGGGCTGTTTTCCAAGACTACACGGCTGATAGCTTGTTTTCTTAGTGCATGGGGTCTTCAGTGCACAGTTACAGTCTGCCAGCCTCTGTGGCTTGCACGGACATTTAGTGTAGAATGAAAGGCAGACAAGCTTCAAAATTGGCCCACCCCCGACCTTGTCCCAAGACCAGCCCATCTCGTCCCCGCCTCCTTGACCTGTCTGTCTTTTCTCCCACCTATCCGCTCCTCCTACCTCACTGTCCAACCCCCACGCCCACCTCCTACCTACTAGCCTCATCCCTGCTTCCTTGACCTGTTCGTCTTCCCTCCCATCTACCCACCCCTCCCTCCTCACTGACCAACCCTCATCCCAACTCCCTACCTACACTCACCTTTACTGGCTTCATCCCTGCCTCCTTGACCTGTCCATCTTCTCTCCACATATCTGCTCCTCTATCCACCTTTTATCATCGCCTCTCCCTCTCTCTATTTATTTCAGAGTCTCCTTCCCCTCCCCCATTTCTGAAGATGGGTCCAGACCTGAGGCGTAGGCTTTCCTGCTCCTCTGATGCTGTCTGGCCTGCTGTGTTCCTCCAGCTCCACACTGTGTTATCTCTGACTCCAGCATCGG